AGCGTGAAATTTGCTATGCTACGCACTTGTATGACGGAGACAACACATGCGGGTGTGGCGTCCTCTTAAACGCGTTTCAATATTCTGCAATGTCGTAGGTAATGTATAAACATTTTAATAAAACAAAATTATAATATGTAGGTATTACACTAAAAATAAGCCTCCGATATGCCTCATCGAAAACGTCCACATTTTAGCTGTACATATACAATTCGCTGATGATAAATAGTCGCGTATCATCGATAATAACTTTAATTATCTTGCGATTTTTTTTCCAGGTACTGCTGTCATCGTTTATCACAACGTGCTATGGAGACGCGGTATTATTGAAGACAGTGGAAACTCGGTACTCTTGGTCGAYTTTGGCATATCCATTAAGCTGATAAAAAAAAAGTAAGCCCGTGTTCGCAGTTTAATATATAGGGCGAATTTTAAGGATGCTCATCCTATTTTTTTAATTAAATTATTCATTTATTTAAGTATTGATTTTTATTTTGATCAAATCATCCAAAAATAATAAAATACTACTTCAGTATCACATTTATAGCTTATATTTTTATAAAACCATTTTTAATGATAAAGTATTTAGTATTATTCTTAGTATAAATATTTTAATAACTCAGAAACAACTCATTATAATTTTGGTTTAGTTACATCAGCATTTTCAAGAAAATTATCCGTTTAATAATTTTCATTTGATAAGAGGGGGGGGGGTGGGTCATTCGAAAAATTGAAGTTTGTATTGCCACAGGACACTATATACTTAAGTAGTACGATAAATATCAGAAATTTGAATAAACGTGTACTATATTAAAGGGAAAAATAGGAGTGAGTACGCTTCAAAAATCATTCTATATATTTTATTGTAGTCTTAAATATTTCGCGACGACATTCTGTTGTTGGATGAACAATATTATTATTAATAATCATTATTATATTGACGTTGGATTTTCGCTTCCGACAGTCTGAGACCGTGTCTCGAAGAGTTTTTGAAATTACCGATGTTCACTATCGACTGTCAGCTGGAAAACGTCAAACCGAGCGACGACGCCGATGACGAAGATGTCGTTAATAAACTGTCGAAAACGTTGAGGGGCCTCAATTTAAAAATCATCGGAATCGTACGTATAGAGTTCTATTGATGATCGTTTTTAAATTCATATAATCGTGCCCGTTAGTGTGCGTAATCCATTATAGCAATATAATAGTAGTAATCATATATA